CCAGAGGAGGAGCAAGCCAACGGACCAGCACCCCCTGAGGCAATAAACCTGTTATTTGTATTTGGAGGCATGAATACTCTGGGTACCATATATATTGAATTTTGTAAAATAAAATAAAAATGTAGGAATAAAATATTTGACATTATAATTACATTTAAAGCTTCTACCATTACATGCTGAAAGAAAAAAGGTTGAAATGCTTCTCATTCATGTACAAAATTGAAATTTCATATACTGAAAGATCAAGTTTTCAGAGGGTTGACTTTACCAATGTGGAACCTGAAACTATAAAATAAGACCGGACAGAAAACAGTTTGTATCAAACATTTATTTCAATTGTCCTTCCAGACGTACAATGACCAGATTCAATAAATAAACTTTTGCACTGCCTGTGAACATAAAGAGCCCTTCATCCCACAGACACTATATTCAGTGTACCCACAAAAACCCACCCGCCCACCCAACTACATCCCTCCCCATCAGGACTGCCTGAGAACAGCAGCAACAAGCCTCATATCCAGGCTGACAAATATCTCCGCCTTCCAGCGAAGAGAACACGTCTCATACACTGAAACTTGTTTTAAAGTCTTTCAGGAAATTCAGTATGGTCACTTGTTATTGTCAGCCCCTTCCTGACCACTCCTCTCACAATTTGAGTCCCATCAGTCCAATATGTACACCAACATGCCAGAGGGCCAAGGAGCGACAAGACTTCAGACCTGCCTACAACTCATCCTTCTCATCTTGCTCACTGCCCTCTGGTGGAGGACCACCTGCACTACCGTAGAGCTTGGTGATGATGGGCTGAACCACCTCCTCAAGCTCCTTCTTCTTGGCCTGGAAGTCATCCAGGTCAGCATCTTGGTGGGATTCCAACCATTCAATCTTCTCCTCCACTGCCTTTTCAATGGACTCCTTATCGTCATCTGACAGCTTGCCACCAAGCTTCTCTTTGTCACCGATCTGGTTCTTCAGGGAGTATGCGTAGCTCTCCAGCTCATTGCGAGCGTC